CTCAAATTTAGTAAAAGAATTATTAGCTAATTTCTGTTAAAACTATATAAAATTTAAAGATTAAATAAGATCTCTTAAAAAAATTTTGTTTATTTAAACTCTTTCAACTTTTTACAGAATTTAATAGAAAATACTTAAAAAAGTGAATAAGTCGAGTTATTAAAAGTTTTTGTCACTTAAGTGTAGATTTTAAAGTTTCTTACTTTGCCGTGGCACGTAAGTAATGTGTAGCACATTTGCGTTAAAAGTTTCATCCTTCCCATTGCCATATCTGGTGCCGTATATCAATGGTTAAAACTACAATGCACTTGTGCCGCCGTACCATGTTGAGATGTGATGTTATGCGAAACGATATGTTTCAGAAAGAAAAAACATTTTGCCTGATGAAAATAAAGCGCTTCAAAACAGCAACTGTAACAATTGAGAGATACGAGCGAGGATCTCAGTTTGTTTGTTTTCAAGGCAACAGATGTCAACTTTAGGTTTCTTTCTGGTATTTTGCTGCGCTTCATTTTTTTTTTGTTCGTTTTCATAATTTACTAACATTTCATCTTCACTCTGACGTGTTCCCAAAGCCAAAAATTGCAGAACATTGCTGGTTTTAAAGTTTTGCGAATTTTTACGTACAAGTGGGTGTCATAAATGTTTATGATGATGTATTTTGACTACACCAATTCATCAAATCAAGCAGTTACTGTAGCCATAAGATATTTTGCTAATAAATTTTCCAAAATTTAGTTTGTAGTTAGTCAAGTTAGAATTTAGTCTACCTATATAAGAAATTGTCTTTGTTAATTTTATTGTTTTTTGATTCAAATAAATATTTGTATTCAATTTGTAAATCTTAATAAAAAATCAAGAAAATATTTGGGTCTTTTTGAAGCTATGAATCTTAAAAATAAACAAATAAATATTTTTCAAAGGAGTAATATAGTTCAATATTTACCAACTAAATTACTTGTTATAGCTATAGAAGTTCAACTAATAACTTTTATTTCTTAAATAGAACATTTATTATATTCAAATATTGGATATCAAAAAATGTCCTGGTCGCTTAATTATATTATCACGTATTAGTGGTGTAAATTGGAGACCAATACCATGTCATTACTTAGTATTGAACTTATTATTCTAGAAAATCATTGAACTCTTATTAATCCTTATTACTCGCTATGTGCTAACGAGTTATTGAAAATTACTTCAAAAGAATTTAGTACCATAAAGTGTATAGACGAGTGTATTTAAAAGGTACCAGATTTTAAACTCAATGACAGACAATTTATTGAAATGCAAACTAAATCGCAATCTTAAATAAAATTAAATTTTATTAAGTTCACTTCAAGAACCAAGTAATGGATTACCTTGCATAATTATAAAAATCTTGAAAAAATTCTAGAAATTTTTTTAAATGAAAAATTTGTTTTTATACCACAAACTTCCCTTTAGTGTACGCAAACTCTCCTATAATTTTAAGGAATTAGGTCCTTTTTTATTCTAAAACTTTATAAAAAAAGAAAATTTTTTTCTTTGAAAAATGACTTACTTTTAAATTTAGAAAATGTAATTTTTCTCGCTGTGTAACAAAAGTCAACATTCCTTCTTTAGAGTATTTTGCTTCAAAGTAATATATTGTGATGTACATATGACTTGCATACACTGACAAGTGACACTCAAAGCGAAGCTCGGTTCAAACATAAATCACTCAAAAACGTTTTGGAATCTCGAAAGAAGCGAAATGAAATAGAATTTTTTATTATAAAAACAAAGTAACATATATTAATTATTAGAAAAATGGAATTGCAATTATTATAAGAATCTTAGCAAACAGGAAATACACACAGGAGATGCTTTTATCATAAGGGTATTATAGTAGTGAAAACAAAAAATAATAATTAAAATAAAAAAAAAATTTGTTTGCCATTACGTTTCTATAACACAGACTTCCATTTCATTTTATCTCTTTTGAATATTCTTTTAATAATTTTATTTTATTTAATTCATAAATAAGTATATAATATAGGAACTCTAGAGAAAAGTGGTCTAATTATGAGCCCTTATGTTCTTTAGTTTTTATTTGAACAATAGACTGAGATATGTTTATTATTGAAATTAATTAATTAAATTAAGAAATTAATTAATAACTTTAATATTTTTAATATTTTATTTTTAATATCTTATAAATAATTTAATATTTTTTTTTAGTTTTCACATATTATTTGTGTTTAGGCAGTTTATTAGAAAATTCAATTTTCACAGTATTGTGAAATTGTACTAATATAATAAATTATTAAATTGAAACAGCACTTGGATATATTTCTATTAAAAATTGTAAATGATTTAAATAATATTATATATAACAAATATAATTGAAAGCTATATTAATATTATATAAGTTAAATATGGCATACAAATTTTGTTTATATAGAGATTAGTTAATATTAAAGATATACAAGTAAGCATAATATATCCCTTTTACAGTCGATATAAAAACAAGAAATTATAAAAAATGAGATTTTATTATATTATTATGTGGAGGCTAGTTGAGTCAGTGCACTTGATCACTTCCACTCTCTATTAAGGTTTCTTCATAACCCCTCTCTACGCCTTGACTGCATTATTTTTTACCACTTCAGCAGACTAAGCAATATTTGACCTCTGATCTACATATAAAATTGATCATACTTCTGTTTTATTTATTTTTTGGCATCCTAAAGGTATGCAATAGATTTGAATTATAAATCAATGTGTATAGAAAAATATTTTTACACTGCCAATTAAAAGTATTACCACAAATTAAGACATTAAAGTGAGAATTAATCGTTATTTTAAGAATATGGTGAATTTTCAGATATAATAATAAAACCTTATAAAAGAATTTTATGACCTAATAAAAATAAAATAATAAAAATTGTAATTTTTCAAAGCAGATGTAAGGTTGATATATTTTTAATTCATTTTGTGGAAAATAATGTAAAAGCACTTAATATCAAGATGCTTTTTAAGTTTGTTAAAAAGAAAAATCAAAATACTGGGTTGTTTAATAAGTTTGCATAACATGTATTTTTGGTTCTTAAAATGAATTTATTTATCTGTAAAATATTTGTATATCAATACACTTACTTTAACGATCCTCTTATTTAAATACTCCATATCTGTACTAGTCTTACAAAAAGTCTTCCAAATACTTTTCTTTGGTGCACCAATGAAGTCGATTTGTATTTCTTGTCCAGCCTATAATAATTGCATTTGTATTAAACAACCTAAAATATACTATTGTTAGACAGACTTGTCTATATTTGTTGTTATTATTGTAATAAAATTTATAGAAAAAAAATTATTTAATATGTTAAAGTAAATATAATACAGATCTGTCTCTACTAATGGAAGAAAGCCGTGTGTAGTATTAAGAATCAAGAAACATGGCAGTGTTGTAGTTATAAAAAATATAAATATTAATAAATATAAATATAAATAAAACTTAAGTTAAGTGAAAGTTTTATTTTACCATCATATTGTGAATATTTAGTATTGGAATAGTGTTATGTCTGATATGGTCCAGTAAACCTGAAAAATCTTCTTCAGAATCATGTAAGGTTATGTTTGTTGTCTAAAGTAAATTATGTAGAAATTCTGTAATAAGTATTGGGACAGTGACCGGTACTTAATGACGTTAAATACATTGTTTCTAAATGAAATACTATCTAAATTTGAAATAATCTTTTTTTTAAATAAATTGATTAATGAATGAAAAGACTTATTTAAGTATCTGAAAAATGCCAAGGGATACAGAAATGATCTTATGTGAATTTCAATTTTTAAAATAATCTTTTTTATGCATCAACCCCGATCCACGACAACATTTGTGTCGTTCTTTTATTTCACTTATTTTGTTAACTTTTCTTATTTATGTATCTATCTCATATTAGAGAAATAAGAACATGTTTATTATCACTACTATGGGATGTGGCACTACGACCGTCGGATCTGTTGTATTCCCTTCTGAGTTTTGAGTAAGTCCTTAAGCCGTTTTTCGTATATAAAAAGGAGTGCAAAACCCACCTTACAAAGTTTTATTGCCTCATCCGTAATGGTACAATTCCAGCAGTCTTTTCTGTATGTGCATTAGCGCAGGACATTGTGTGGCTGACTCTTCATTCTCGATGAGTACATTTTTAGCTTGAAGTTTGAATTTATTATAGAAAACTGCCTGTAAATATAAACAAAATATTTTATTTTAGTATCTCAATCATTTTAATATTTTTTAAAATTAACATTTGTAAGCTGAGTTCATAAGTCAATAATTGTCGAAACGTTTACAATATAAAATAAGTTTAATTTGGTTATCTATAAGCTCTAAATCGTTTGATCCTTTACGATATCAGATGGATCTTCACCATGTTACGATTTGTATTATACATCCTGTAAGATATCAACAACATTTTTGCCAATCCAAATAGTAGTTGGAGCGCCACTCCTGTACGTTTTCTTATTTTTCAAATTCTAAAGCCAAAAACCTTCAAAGTGTTATTATTATATATGTGGAGCACACATACATAATAGATGTTTCAAAATTTTCTTTATATATAATTTTCCGTATCACTTTCATATGACACTACTGGCATTACCAATACCAGTATCCCAATTTGTATGCGTTTGTCGCTGGTGATTCTTCAGTACACCTATGATTGTTCTACAATCGTTTTGTGACAACGATAGTAGAAATCGAGTATTCTTTTCTATATTTGATGTACACATGATTTTTCCAGTTCTTTAGTTGGTTAGGCTATTCGAATTTAATGTGACTGAAACGGCTGAAACCGATTTCACAACGTATTTCATTGTTATGTGACTCTCCCTCTTTACTAAAATTGATCAATTTATATAATAGTTATCTCATTGTAAACAATTTTTTTTAATATATAAAACTTTTATTAGCCTTAATTCTATTTTAAATACTAATTAATAATTCGAACATTACTAAAAATCCATTTACACTACATTTAACTCTTTATAATGTAACCAGGATCGTCCTTAAATTTTACACAGTACCGTTTAAAGCAAATACGTTTCCTGGGAGTTTTCGTTGATGGCTTCTTGGTTGTAGTGTTTGTAGTGGTCATGGGTGTCGTAGTTGCAATAGTTGTTATCGAAGAAGACGTGGATACGGTAGTGCCATTAGGCCCCAATGTAGTGCTCATTGTCGTATTTGTAAACTGAGGATTTTCAGTTGTGGATGGATCCCCATTTTCACCTGTCAGCACGCTCCATATATATTTTAAAAACTTTTCTATGATATTAATTTCTTCAGGTGTGAATTGCTTTTGATTCGGTTCGACTTGACATGAGCACAATTCCTGTGCAATCATAAGAATTGCAAAGATAAAATATATTTTAAAAAACTTTCTTATATGCATCTTTTGTTGTGCAATGTATAAACACTTATGATAATTTTTTCCATGAGTATTACTTTTTATAAGAGCTCTACATCAGTTTATCCAAAGAGATATTATTACAGAAGAAGCAAAACTGCACGTAGCATGGTGATTATATACTTATACAAAACATTTCCATTATTATTATAAACGCCGATAGACATGCACGTGATTAGGTATATATCAGTTTACGGCTTTATAAGTGGTTTTTATATATGATACATAAGGTGGATTATGTATCATAAGTGCATTATTAATTATTTTAAAAAGATAATTTTAGACTTTTTTATCATATTTTATTCGTTATATTATACTTATAAAAAATAAGAATAATTTTTTTACTTCTGGTTAAAATGTATATAATATTTCATACGCATTTTCCAACATATATAGTATAATATTTACAGACGAAGGGAAATAAATGAAAAAAAGCTAAATAAATAATTAATGTTAAAGTGAAATGTAATAACAAATAGGTCAAATGAAAATTTTAATATAAAAAAAAGTTGTTAATGGTATTTATACTATATTCTATTCAGAAATTAGTGGGAATAGTTTTTCATAACATATCAGTATGTAATTGTTCTATTTATTTAACATATACTGATCTTTGGACATTTATTCATGTCCTTACATATTTTGCAATCTTCGGATTTCTTTTTAATAGCACTTTCTGGTATTATCTACAGCTTAATTGAAAACATCAGGAGTATTCTGGAGCTGTAATTTTGATTCTAAGGATAAAAAGCAATTTGCACGAGGAAAAGAAAGGTATCGATTAATCGACTATGTTAATTTTGTTTATAATCAGGCACAGACATACCTGTTCTGTAGTGGCACATCATCGTTTTATAAAATTATTCCTTGTGGAAAATCCCAAACTAATTCTTTAATACGCTCAAATAGCTCTACCGACAATCTATCTATCTAAAATGAATTTATAATACTTACCGCAAATATTAAAAAAAAAATTGGGAATTAGTGTGCTGTTGTCGACACCACAGTTGCTTATATGAGTTGTCCATGGATGTGCTATGTGAGATGTTAAATCTATTACCCAATACTCGTCCTATTAAAAATAGTAGTTCATCGCTTGGAATAACGCTCTCAGGTTTAAAGCAGCGGACAAAATGCATATATGATCATAGTCAAATTCTTGACATAATCTTGATTTCGCTATATAGAATCACATCAGACTACTAAAGCCCACATTTATGTGTTAAGAACTGTTTTACGATAATATTTCCATCAAAAAATGGAAAATCTTTTTTGTTAGTGTCTTAAGCATTTTCACTTAATATCATCTGTAACCACTGTAATAAGAGCTTCATTGAATTCTGATAATAAGTTATTCAAATGATACTATATTATATATAATTCACTCGTTATTCGTCGTCACTATAAACTTTAGTTGTTTCACATGTAGAACGATTTACAGATTACAATCAAGTTTAATAAATTGATGTTTATCAAGTTTTTCTGTAGACAACTTTTTGAAATTATATTGTTGTGTTATATTTGTATTCTATATATCTTGACAACATAGTAACTCATCATATAACAGATTTTCCAAATCTTATTTGTTATTGCATAGACATTTTATATATCTTTGAATGAACTATTTGATGAATTTCTTAAGTAATTTATAACTTTTTAATTTAAAAATTTATGATTTAACTTTAAAATAGTTGAAATATAAATTATATTTATACAGATCTAAATTATTTATATAGATCTATAATCTACAACCGTCTTTGGGGCACTGAAAGTATGTTAATGGAAAAAGTTGTGTATTTTTTAAAGAATTGACCAAATAGCACGTTTGCGGATATATGAAAAGTCTATGTAATAATAAGTAGGATTCAATTGAACTTCTCAGTATAACATATGACGAGTTCAATCCTAAATATATAAAATTACGTTATCAAGCATTAATTGTAGACTTTTTCTGTAATAGGTTGATCAGAGTAAGTAACATTTGTCGCACTCACATTATCAGATCGACAGCAAATATATAATTTCATAGCGGTTGCTTTCAATTAAGTATTTTAAATATAAATAATAAATTCTTCTATGCATCTATTTTATATTACTTCTTTTATCATAGTTGTATTGTATATAAATCAAAAATTTTCCGAAATTTTTTTTATTTACGCATTAGAACTTTTAACACGTAATACAATCTCAAGGAAATATTCACAAATAATCAACTAATCTGTCTTATCTGTCAAATAAAAATAACAATATCCATATTTAACTAATGTTACTGCATTTCAAAAACAAGTGACCCACAAAACGCCGATTACTTTTTGCCCAAACTAACCGTTTATGGATGAGAACTCGTACCAACAGTAATGATTTATAATACACTTTCTGCACATTAAGAGTATTGTTTTTTTTTTGTTTTGTTATAACTGTGGTCAAGAAGTTTTTTAATCAAAACTGTCCAAATTTTAAGAACACTAGAACAAAGAGATACGAGTTTAACTAATAGTTCGGTGTATGAAATAGATATGAAGCTCTTATATGAAAACTTGTTTATAATTAAAGTTTTAAGCTTTAAAATATTTAGAGTTAAGAATATAAATCTGTTATCATACTAAATATTTACAATTCATTATCAGATAAAGTTTTTAAATAATTTATGATTTACATTTCCGCACACGGTCTACGCCAGTTCCAGTTCAAGTTCAAGGCGAAGATCAGCATTCACTCACGTTTCTTTGCGAATTCGGTAAAAACCGCAGTGATAAGCGCGAGTGCTGGCATTTATAATTCCAAAGAGATCTCCAAAAATTTATTGATAAATTTGCGCATTATATTAAATCCATATTCTCACTAAACCCAGATAAGTTGAAGAAATGTCTTAAAATAATAAAATAAAATTTATATAAAAGCAAACTACGGTAAAATGTAAACATTATGGTTAAGCGCGTCTTATAAGCAAGCGTTACAAAAAACAAAAAAAAATATATATAAAAAAAAAAATAAAAAAAAATTAAGTGTAATGAAACGTAGAAGAGTTTTGCTGGCGGCAGCATTTCTGGCCGCATGTGCGGTGCTCGTGCATAGCAAGCCTCAAGATTTACTTGGGGGTTTGAGACACATTGATGTGACAAATAAAGATATAACCAAACAAGAAGGTAAGGTTTTGGATGTCAGAACTAAACAAGAATTTTGACTTGTTCTTATACAAAATTCCTACATGCACAAGTGCAGCTAATTATTAATCTCTGCTTCTCTCAGTGGATGATACGAGTAATGGTAATATCATACACACAATAATGCAAACGATTATCAAAGCTAATGTGTTAAATAATTCTGACAAAACTGTGATTGGAGGTGGTGGAAAAGGTCCGGGTATTAACAATGATAAGATAACAAAGCAAGAGAGTAAGAGAGGAAATTGAAATAAAATTGTGATGATATTAATTAAAAAAAATTCTTAGTTACAAAAAAAGAGACTATCGAGGGGATTAGTGATCTAATTGATGCTAATTTGCAAACTATAGGCGATGTAAATGCACTGAATAAAGATAAAGAAACATCAATTGGGCGCGGGAATGGCATACGAAACAATGAATTTACTGGGCAATCAAGTAATTGATAAGTGATATGAATATTTGAAGTGATTAGAACTATATAAATTTTTTTCAGTTAAAACTGATGAGACTAAAAAAGGAGGCTCAATAGATATTCTTGATTTAAATAATCAAGCAATGGTCTTAGTCGATATATTAAATAATAACGACCAAACAAATATAAACAAAGGAGGAAAACCCGGTATAGCAAATGGCATTATAAATAATTCTGTAGCAAAACAAAATCGTAAGTTTAGTAAAAATACCAAATTTTAAAACAAAAGTTAAAGAATATTGAAAAACCCATTTCTTAGAGGAGCGCACCCAAACTTTCGAAAAAGGTACTCACCTTCAGGGTGTTGACTTTGGTGGTCAACTTTTGATAGACACAGATGTTGCTAACACTGATAATCAGAAGGATTCAGGACCTGGCGGTATTAAAAACAAAGAAGTAGCAAGTCAAAAAAGTAATGTTAACATAATATGCAATATTTTTAGAATCTAGTACAAAGTATATAAATTTTTAGTAAAAAAGACTAAAACATTAAAAGAAGGAGCCCATGTAATAACTCCAGCTGAAATTGGACCACAAATTATGTTAAAAGCGAATGTAGTAAATGAAGCAAAACAAATTATAGACTTTATAAATCCAGATCCTTCTAAACCTCCAAAACCAGGGCATGAAGACGACGATTGTGTTGAAAATGTTGAAATAACTAAGCAAGAACGTAAGTAAATATTAACACAGCAAGATTTCTAAATTACAGTATATTTAATTGTGATTGTAGAAGAAAAAGAACTTATAATGGAGGGTAATGCTAAACAACTTACTGGTGTTAAACTTGATCAACAAGCAATTATTGATCTAAACATAGCTAGTAAAGTCATACAAAAAATTAAGTGTAAGTCACGAAAAACTACAACAAAAAAGCCAACTACATCAACAAGAAAACCAACACATAAGCCAACCACGTCAACTAGAAAACCGACACGTAAGCCAACTACGACTACGCGAAAGCCAACAACGACTACACGAAAGCCAACAACAACTACGCGAAAGCCAACTCGTAAGCCAACAACGACTACGCGAAAGCCAACAACGACTACACGAAAGCCAACAACAACTACGCGAAAGCCAACTCGTAAGCCAACAACGACTACGCGAAAGCCAACTCGTAAGCCAACAACGAGTACTCCAAAGCCAACTCGTAAGCCAACTCGAAAACCAACACGAAGACCAACAAGAAGACCAACACGGAGACCTACACGGAAACCAACACGAAAACCAACTACAACAACACAAAGGCCGACAACTTCAACTCCAACACCAACGACGTCAACATCAACTTCAACATCAACATCAACTTCAACTTCAACTTCAACATCAACTACTTCTACTCCAACACCAACCACACCTTCTACATCAACTTCAACTCCAACACCAACTACACCAACAACTTCAACTCCAACACCAACTACACCAACAACTTCAACTCCAACTCCAACACCAACCACATCAACTTCAACTTCAACTTCAACTCCAACACCAACGCCAACTACACCAACTACATCAACCTCAACTCCAACTCCTACTACACCAACAACTTCCACTCCAACACCGACGACCTCTACTCCAACGCCGACAACATCAACGTCGACATCAACACCAACACCTACACCAACAACTTCAACTACTCAACAACTGCCTAAAAGTACAACACCACGACGACGTTGCTATCGTCGTTATTGTCGTAAGTGGCGTAATAGACCCATATACAGATGCTGTACAAACTGTGATGGACTTTCAGCATATCCTCGCCCTAAATATAGCTATCATTCCTACGCATCAAAGAAGTACCCATAAAATCTTCATTAATTTCTGTATCGATCATTTAAGTTTTTCTTTTTATATTTTTCTACAGTTTTATAAATTTATAGTTATAGGAATTTATATGAATAAATATTTTGTTATTTGTATATACGACCAAATATTATCAGTTTTTTTTCGGAGTAAAAGCCTGATCTGGGCTTCCAATGTGTTTAGCATCATCGGTTATAAGATGATTTTGAAATAGCAGCGATATGAAACCGTTTCTATTCGATGGTTTAAATATATGTCAAGATTTTTACGGAAATAACTGTGACTTAGCAAAGGAATCATTTCTTTTTGTTTTTAACTTTTAAAATATTAATATAATGATTAATTTAGAAGTCTACTGTCATCATTTGGATAAATTGAGTGATTCACTTTAACAGATAAAACCAGAACTGATTAATACAAAAGGTCAAATATTCCACTAATATATTACAACATCTCACACAAGTTTGGTTATATGCTAAAAAGCACTTACAGTTTGCATGGTATATACTATCAGACCCATCATATTCTGGTCGTATTATATACTTCAGATCTGGTGCTAATCGATTATTATATGTTTCAGTCTTTATAATATTTTTTAGTGGATAAAATTTTTGCTTCAAATAAGAAGGACAGATCTCTAGGTCAATCTGGTCCCACCATATTCTTCAGATGTGGTTACATCCGATTATTATATTTTTCGAGCATTATAATATTTTTTAGTAGGTAAAACTTTTAGAAAACAGATCTCTAGGTCGACCTGATCGAAATTGGATAAAAAACGTACCAGTCAACTACTTCAACTAAGGCGGAACCTGCTCAGCACTCCGGTATCGGTGCTGACGGACCAATGTATAATAGGGAGGCATATAGGGTCAGACTGGCAGACTGGGTCTACCCTATAAAGTCGCAGCTGTGGTTCTGAGAATGGAAAGAAAACTCTCTAAATCTCATCTGTACGTACCAACGCTATGACTGTGTTACCACAAGTGGTTAATTTTTGAGCACAAATGGGCTTTCTTAGACACTCCAACCGAACCTGCTCTAAAAAGGTTAGAAATTACCTGCAAAAGTTTTTCGGCAACAATTAAAAAAATTTTTACCAGTGTGGAAATAATGATACGGTCAGATAGATGACAAAAAATATTGGATTAAATTGAACCAATAAATATATATATATAGCGAAAAAATATATCAAGGACAGAGCCCTAAAATTATTCACAAAAGTTGATACATTGCCCAACACTGCCTTAACAAACCGTAAGTCCACCTCAGGACGCACAGGAAGATATGCTGATCTACGGTCCGTCATCAAATAATAATTCTAGTATAGTTAAGGTTTAGTGTGGGGCAGGAATAAGCCCTCCAGCCACAAAGGAGTAAAAGTGCGCAATAGCAGTAACTCAAATCACAACAACAACAACAACAACAACAATACTCGTATGGTCAGACAAAAATTCAGTTAATTAAAATAATATAAAAAGAATTTTTGTTGTTGTAGTTGATTACTTTTCGAAACTTCGCTATTATGATTTTATGCGTTTAAATTTTTGTATTGTATTGTATACACAAAAATACATGAAATCATTTTTTATATACTTCAAATGGCATTTTTCAAGACTTCATACGGATTTAAAAAAAGTTTCATTACACCAAACACAAAATTCCCTTAACAAATTCATTCCAAGCTAATTAAAGAACAATCATGGCAATAAAAAACGTATCAAAGCTAAGTTAAAATCTACTTTAAAAACTCTAATTCACGCTGAAGAGTGAAAAGTTTTCAGAAAATGAAAACCCTAAACTGCTTTGAACTTTCAAATATGACTGCAAACTTTTTTGGCTTTTTCTTTGAGTAGATATCGCAAAGCTGCAGATACACAATCTTAACAATTACAACAGTAAGGAAAAGATTACATTATTATCACCCCTGAGCAATTGGGATGTAAACCAGATACAAGCATACTCACATATAAACTATAAACAGCATCGGTCGGTAAGGCTTTGAAGTGATGTAATAAAAATATTAACATTTCTCGCCTATTTATAAATATGGGCTTGTGTGTATGCTAAAGTACCAACACCCAGTACCTGTGCGTAGCTAACAGTTTGGGTAATTTGTGAACTTTTAATTATTGTCAGACTTAAGGCACTGAAAAAGTTGAAGCATTCCTAACACTCGAAGCAATTGCAAAAATAACAAACCAAATATAACTATGAGTAACATAAACATAGACAGAGGTTGGTTTAAGGTAGAAAAATATGATAAAAAAAGTTATTTTTAGTGTTCTAGTGTTCGTTAAAAGCCTGTTAAAATAATAAAATAAGTGGTAATAGCTCAGACCAGAGGTTACAGTGGTGTAATTTCTTATAAGTTAAAAGGTAATGAGTATTGCGCGCTAAGGGATGCAAAGTTCAGTTTATAACAAATTTTTTATATAAAATTTATATAAGCAAATAGACATCATTACTTAAAGTAATAGTCTAAGTTGTATGTTTCCATTTAACCGCTACTTCCTTTAAATAACCTTAACGAATACGCGCAGTGTTTTAAAATGAAAACAAAATTTTTATTGTATACTTTAAGGCGCTAAGTCAGTACAAACTTTATAGACAATCTAACTACCTGCATACACAACTTGCTACATCTTCACGGTACACTGTAAGCAGTACACTAGGCATTTCTGTAGTGCTGCAAAGGAACTCACATATACACCAATAAATGTTGCCTATCTGAGAAGTAACGTGTTGATTTCATTTGGTGTTGGTAGTTCCGGCACAGCCACGAATCCTGTAAGTTTTTTTGCACGTGTAAGGAATTTATAAAATAAAATTAAGAGAAAAATAAAGCAGGAAAGATTATTTGCAGACATAACATACAATATGAATGAAAATGAAAGTGTGGAAAGCTTAAAAGTGGCCAAATGGTGGTAGCGTGGTGATATTTTATATACGTAGTGCCCGCATTTGTTGCCCCGCAATAATGAAATGTTTTCAAATTGCTCGCGCCCACTGAGGGCAAAGGTACCAAATGTCATATTAAAAGACTTTTGGGTGCTTTTATGGCTACAAATAAAAGCAACTAATGCATTTTATTTATGCATCAAAATAAATCGTGTCGGGAATTTATAACAATTTGGCATTATGTATTTATTTGAATCTTTTTCGTATTTTCTTGTCGATATTTTATTTATTAGCGGTAATTTATTTTTTTTTTTTTGATAATAAAACATAAAACCACAAATGCTTTTTAAATGCACTTCAAATGGGAATAGAAAGGATAACTGTTTGAAAAGGACAAGAGAGATAGAAGAATTTATGATGAAATTACTTTTCTTAATTGAGTAAAAATGATGCCATAAAGAATATCAAATAAAATTATATTATTACACTCAATGGTATTGAATTTTTGGCTATCTGATTAGTAGAGAGAGCCTGAGATTGGATGTATCGCACCGAAAAACAGAATTGTTTCCACGCTCTTTGACACCGCGTTGTTCGAGACTACAGAAACGGAATTTTGCTTCAAGGGTAAAATTAAAGAAAAATTATTTTTATTAATAAATTTCACATTTTCAAAAGAATTACACGTGGATCACATATGAGTAACCATATAATTCGGGCAACATATATCCATATTCTTCAATGCCGTGTTCTACAAGAATCGTGTTTTTCGAGGTTTACCTGTTCCTGAGTTCATTTTAAGACTTATATTTTGCTGTGTGTCTTGTTGCGCATTATTCTGAGGTCTTTATTGAGTTCTTATGCTTCTTATGCTTCCCACTCGTTTTATCATTAGCTCTACTTGCAGATTGTCTAGCTTTAATCTTCTTATCTTCATGTTGTTCATCAATTCATTTATTTATATATTTTTTATTTTAATTGTTTTATTTTGATGGCATTTTTATCATATTAATAATGTTCAGGATTTTCGTTTTTATTGTATATATTAAAAGAAATGAGATTTAATAAGTTTCGATGTGGCACATAATCTAACATTGTGCTGAAATATATATCTATAGAAGTCTATATAGAAGCGAGTATTGATAAACTTTTATAAAGACCTTAATTTCACTTTGAGCACTTCTCTCTTTTTTTATATAACTTTATATTTCAACTGTAAAACATCTATTCATACCCTTCTAATCAAAGTGGATTGTTTCTCTAGTTATTTAATATTCATCATTAAAATGAATTTCAAAAAAATCACTTCCAGAAGAAGTTCTGAAAAAAATTTCTATATTCAGAAATCCAACAGAATTTTTCGCTTATCTCACTTATGCTAAATAAAATCCACCCAAAAGCAATTTTTTTGAATTTTAGATAAATCTAGATTTGCATAACAAACATGGAGGAAATAACAATAAGAATGCAAAAATTGACAATTTCAATTTGGCACATCAGGACTGCAAGGATGCCACTCCTTTTTCTTCGTCTGCATCTTTTACTTTTACGGCTGCTTAATTTGAAACATTCTTCGGAGTACCAAGAAATTTGTAGGCTTTCTTATGCAAAATTGTTTTGAAATATTTTTGCTTTACCAATAAACTCAGTTCATTGCTTCTCTAGTGTCGTTATTGACAGTTTAGGTTTTTATTGTGAAGCAATTTAAATAATTTCTTCACTTGTGTATGCTCCTTTAAATTGGAGCCTGCATTCTAAAAAAATAGAATTTTCAGAAAGGAAAATTGCTTGTGAAGACCTTTTCGGAAACAGAAAAAGCTAAGTTAATTCAAGGGTTTCCACCTTAATTTTGTTTATTTTTTATTCAACATGCGAGGCACGTAATAGACAAATGGCACTTTTATTATGAACGTACAATATATTCCGGTTGATTACAGTTTATTTCAGTTCAAATTCTTTTTTATGCAGAAATCGAGGAAACTTAACATTAAAGTTGTTTTTAAAATAATTAACTAACTGAATATATAATTTATTTCATTTTGAGGAAAACATAGGTATATATACATTTTAAATTTACAACTGAAAAGTAAAAAGGCTAAAAT